AAGGATAGTTAAAGCATTGTACATCCGTACGAGTGGGAGAACAGGAAATCGAGAGGAATTTTGTAAATAGGACTCTCCCCCCTCTCCTCCCCACCCCGCCCCCACCTTCCTACCCCAACTTTCCCGTAGGATCGCAGTTGTCAGAAGTCCCCGTCACCGATTTCCCAGCGTGGGACCTTGAGGGCGAGAGCGAGTCACTCATTTGCAACCTGAAGGGCTAGTGGGAGACCCGCCACGCTCTCCCGAGGCGGGCCGGTTCCGTTGGGGCGGGATATGTCGCAGGGCTTGATTACTGCCCTGGAAGCATGACGTTGTTTATGCCAACTCATGACATTGCCGCTGTGTCGTTGCCCGAGGCGACAGGGTGGAGTTACGGTGGATTAAGAAAGGTAAACGGAAGGAGGGCATTTTTCGTTAGGTATTTTTGGCGCTTAGAGGTTGTCTTTCGGGAATTTAAAATCAGGTGTTTCATTTATCTGCTTCGCGCTGTGCGAAAGTGGAGAATTCATGACCTGTCTTAACACTGTCGGTTCAGGTTTTTCTCGACCTTATCCGCTGTTCGATTCATGTGATATCCCTAATTTAGGTGTCTTAATTATTAAACCATTTTTTCATTGTGAGGTTACCTTCTAATACAAAAGATATCTGATTCAAAACATCGTAAACCTAAAAGATAATACACTTTTAAAAATAAATCGTCATGGCACTGAGAGTGACTAGGATAATTCATCTAACAATTTCACTCCAATTTGTACCGATATCTCCCGTTTAGCCTTGGAAGCCCGAGTCGCAAGGTCGAGTTATGACACTGCAGTAGCGTCTCCATGCAATCAACTGCAGCGCCGTACTTAGTCTCCAGACATCCGCGAGATAAAAGCCTTACCGAAAACCAACATTGCTAAATCGATCAAGACGCCAAAGCAACCTCGAAGAACTGGTTCCTCCGAAGGGAAATGATGACGAGGGGACGTCAGGTCACTTGGTCACGTCATCCTTCGGAGCAGAAGGGGGCGAGTGGGAAGGGGTTGCGGAAACTCTCTGGGAATCTATTACACGGGTTAGGAAGCTCATGACGAGGCATGTGTCCTCAGGCAGGATGCTGACGGAGGATTCTTGTTATTGTTGATCTCTGCTTCTCTCTCTCTCTGACTATTTGTCTTTCTGTCCGTCTGTCTGTCTGTCTATTTGTCTGTCTGTCTGTCTTTCTTTCTCTGTCTATCTCTCTCTCTCACTTTCTCACACACACACACTCCCTCCCTCCCTCATACCCACCTACTTTCCTCCCTTCCCCCCCTCTCTCTTTTTTCCTTTCCTCCCTTTCCTCCTTTTCTCCCTCCATCTCATCCCCTCTCTCTTTCTTTCCCTTCCTTCCTCCCTCCCTTCCCTCCTACCCTCCCTTCCTCCCTCACTCTCGCTCTCCCTCCTCTCTCTCTCTCTCTCTCTCTTCTCTCTCTCTCTCTCTCTCTCTCCTCTCTCTTCTCTCTCTCTCTCTCTCTCTCTCTCTCTCTCTCTCTCCCTCTCTCTCCCCTCTCTCTCTCTCTCTCTCTCTCTCTCTCTCTCTCTCTCTCTCTCTCTCTCTCTCTCTCTCTCTCTCTCTCTCTCTCTCTCTCTCTCTCTCTCTCTCCACCCTCCTCCTCTCTCTACCTTCCCAGTCCTCCGTCTCTCTCTCTCTAGTTCTCTTTCTTTGCCTTTCTCCCTTCCCTCCCTCCCCCTCCTCCTTCTCTCTCTTTCATTCCCACCCCTCCACAGAGAGCTCTCTGTCTTCCCCTTCCTCTCTCCCTAGCCTCCCTCTCTCTCTCGCTCTCTTTCTGCCTTTCCCTCCCCCCTCCCTCCCTCCCTCCCTCTCTCTCACCTCCCTCTCTCGCTCGCTCTCTGTCTTCCCCTCATTCCCTCCCTTGCTCTCGCCTCCCTCTCTCTTTCGCTCTCTTTCTTTCTTTCCCTTCTCCCCTCCCTCCCTCTCTCTCTCGCTCTCTTTCTGCCTTTCCCTCCCCCTCCCTCCCTCGCTCTTGCCCCCTCCCTCTCTCTCTCTTTCTTTCCCTCCCACTTCCCTCCCTCCCTCGCTCTCGCCCCCCCCCTCCCTCTCTGTCTTCCCCTTCCTCCCTCCCTCATCTCCCTCTCTCTCTCGCTCTCTTTCTGCCTTTCCCTCCCCCCCCCTCTCTCTCGCTCTCTGTCTTCCTCTTCTCCCCTCCCTCTCTCGCTCTCTTTCTTTCTTTCCCACCCTCCCTCCCTCGATCTCACCTCCCTCTCTCTCTCGCTCTCTGTCTTCCCCTTCCTCCCTCGATCTCGCCTCCCTCTCTCGCGCGCTCTCTTTCTTTCCTTCCCTCCCTCCCTCCCTCCCTTGCTCTCTGTCTTTCCCTCCCCCCTCCCCCTCCCTCGCTCTCACCTCCCTCTCTCTCGCTATCTGTCTTCCCCTTCCTCCCTCCATCCCTCCCTCGCTCTCGCCTCCCTCTCCCTCGCGCTCTCTTCTTTCCTTCCCTCCCTCCCTCCCTCCCTCCCTCGATCTCGCCTCCCTCTCTCTCTCGCTCTCTGTCTTCCCCTTCCTCCCTCGATCTCGCCTCCCTCTCTCTCGCGCTCTCTTTCTTTCATTCCCTCCCTCCCTCCCTCCTCGATCTCGCCTCCCTCTCTCTCGCACTCTCTTTCTTTCTTTCCTTCCCTCCCTCCCTCCCTCCCTCGCTCTCACTTCCCTCTCTCTCGCGCTCTCTTTCTTTCTTTCCTTCCCTCCCTCCCTCCCTCGATCTCGCCTCCCTCTCTCTCGCACTCTCTTTCCTCCCCTCCCTCCCTCCCTCCCTCGCTCTCGCTCCCCCTCTCTTTCTCAGGTAGACCAGCATCCCATCATCTGAATCGATAACGAGAGAAACCGAGCATCCGTCTAGGGTAATTCCGCGAATTTCCCCGTTGATGTGATCTGATTGCAGTTATTACATTTATTTGTGTAAAAAGACGCATGGATATGTGTTTACGTGTGTATGTCTACGTGTTTGCGAGAGTGTGCGTGTTTGCGTGTGTGCGTGTGTGCGTGCGTGCGTGCGTGCGTGTGTGTGTGTGTGTGTGTGTGTCAGTGTGATTGTGATTGTGATTGTGAGAGAGAGTGTGAGTGTTAGAATGAGTGTGTAAGCGCTTGCATGCACTGTCCCTGCATGTCTTTTCACACTCACAAAATCACCTTGTGTCTGCCTAGCCCACACTGCACGAGGCATCGGAAGCTGATCTGGCTTATGGGCAGCGAAAGGCAGGTCGAAAAGGGTCGAGGCCAGATGCTGCTTTATGATTCTCACAAATTATTCTCATTCCAATCCATCTCACATCTGTTTCAATGCACTTCCGGAGTGAGGGTAGGATGTGGCTTGGGGTCAGAGGGCAGAGGTCAATGCAAAGTGCCTGGCATACAATACATACATTCAATATATATATTACTTCATATTTTCATTTGTGTTTTACGATGTCATTATCTGAAACGACAATGAAGAAATAAAGACATGAAAACCTTTAAAATGGGGTTCTTTTGCGAAGGTAACTGACAATTACTGCGGTCACAGTACCACGTGGTCTGCCCGGCTGCACCCTATCGCCACTCGCATACACGTGTATGAATGAATGTAGCAAAGGAAAGTGTGTACATCTTAGATCTTTCTTCCGTATGAGAATCAGTAACAAACGAAAACATAATAAAGTAACAAGAATAAAGTAACAAAACAAACAAGGGGAAAAAGTGCGGGAAGGACACGTCAGCCATGTCAGTGTTTCCCTTTCATCTCAAGAGCCAATCTTTCTCTCTCTCTCCTCCCGCCGTGCACTCTCTCTCCAACCTGTTTCCAACCACTTATTACCCATCCTTCCTCGGGCTCTCTAACCCTCCACTCACTTCACGGTTTCCGGTTTAAGGCGATTTTCAGATTACTACGGTACTGTGGCTCGGATGTCGGTGTCTGTGCGAGGTTTTTGATCCGGTGACCTTATGTCAGCTAATGTGTTAATGTCTCTCTATGCAATCGTTAACGTAATAATTATATTCGTATAGGGAATTAATTCAGATTTCGTTTAGTCTTATCGGAACTTTTAAGATTTAGAAGAAAAAAACAGTAGTAAAAGCCATTCATTGAATTGGAAATACAAGCTAAAGATTATCACCTTGGCTGACCTGAAATGTCTCTCCTCACACTTGACTTTCACACTTTTCTCCTCCTCCTCCCCCACCCCTCCGCCCATATCGTGCCCCTTCCTCCACCCAGCCACCCACTGCTTTCTCTCCGACGATAACACTTAAACACATCTGTTATCGGGGTCTTAAAATATCCTTCTAATCCACACTTGGATTGGGGTTTTAAGTAGCAGACAATCACTTTCTATTACTAATGATTAAACTGCAGCCAGTGCTTAGCTCCGTTGGGTGTGGCGTCCTTGTAAGTCTCAGCCATTGCCTCGCGTCTGTGTGCATGTGCTCCCCTGAGCGTGTGCATGTGTTTGCGGCCATCATCGCTTTCGTATGTCAGTGGTTGTCATTGCGGATTTTTGAGTGAGTGTTTTGGCGTGCATTGGCGTTGCAACGTAAGTGAGCAACAGGACAACTCAAGTGATGTTTTCTGAGATCTCTGCAATGCCGCATTATCTCTCATTTACTGTGCTTGCTACAACACTAGCGGCGTCGGCCAGCCCGCGAATTCTGCACCGAACACTGAGCAGTGCTTGCGTCTGCCCGCCACTCGCTTGTCCGAAAGCGGTGATTGCTAGTTCTTTGTTTCACTTTATTTTCGCTTCTGTGGTGTTGTTACTTAAAGGTGAATAATTTTGTGTCTCACGCACTTGGATCCACGTCCGGTTGCCAGTTATTACCATATTTCTTCGCTAGCAGACGACATTCTTCAAAACGGTAAGAGCGACCGGGATCAATGTGGAACCCTCGAGCAGGAACAGGCGCACGTTGCAAGCGTGTACTATTTGATTTATTTCATATAATTTTATTCTACTTTATTTTCATTTATTCATTTATTTTACCGGTGCAGATCTAGCAACTCACACGTCGTCTTCCTGCTGCTCAAGTTTCGACGATTTTTCCAAGTTACAGCTCGAGTGAGAACCCTGCATCTACACCGCAAGCTTCGCAAATGTAATAAGTGCGCGGAAAATGAGTGTGAGTGAATGAACTTTAATCGGACATTTAGAGACTTACGCCGAAATATATAATTCAAAATTAAGTCTGTGTCACTATGGGTGCGAGTTCGAGCACGCGCACTCCTTGAAGCTTTGAAGTGCCGGAAAGCCAATAACTGTCACTGTTGACATGTGCTTTTTAAGATGAAACGACTGACACGATGGCTGAAGATTCAATCAAGCAGCTGATAGAGACTCAAGCCGAGTCGTATAAACACCAGATTGAACTCTTATCGGAAAGATATGACGAGCGAGAAAAGAAAATGTTGACGGAAATCCGAGACCTCCGAACCGACGTACGAGACCTGCAAACGAGATTAGAAACCACCCAGCAAGAATTAGTTGATTTAAAAGCCGAACTGCCGAGGCTGAAACGACAAATTAAGCAATTAAGTGATTACCAGTATAGCATAACAATCCTAGAGAAGCGTGTCAATCATCGCGAAGAAAACAATCGCCGTGACAACCTCGTCATCGATGGCATGCCCGAAGATGACAGCGAAACAGTAGAGGAAACCCAAGTCAAAGTCATTGCCTTGTTATCGGAGAAGCTGGGTCTCCCGACGTCGACGGCCCTGCAGGCGCGTCGCATCGGGAAGGGCAGCCCCGGGAAGGCGAGGGCCATCGTGGTGCGCTTCGCCGAACGCCAAGACCGCGACGCCACCCTCAGGAATGCCAGCAAATTGGAAGGAACCAACATTTTCATCAACGAGTATTTCTACCCGACGGCGAGGAAACAGCGAGAGGCTCGTCTCTTCCAACTGAAACAAGGCAAAAGGCCGAACGGCTCCGTCATCGCGCCTCTTCCCCAGCCGTCACTCAACCAGCTTCCCCAAACTGCTTTCCCCAACAAACCCGACGCGATAACTACCTCCCTCCACCCGCCACCAGCGCCCGGAGGAGCCATCATCGGATCTTCAGTAGAAATTGAACAAGACAACGACACCTCGGAGGTGCGATACTATTTTTTAATTGACTTTTGTTTGTTGCACACTAACACGCTTTACCGGTGGTATCAAACAGGTATTTCTATGTAAACTTTCCAATAACTCAATCACGGACTCTCCCCTTTCATTTTTTGCATAATGATCGAATGCTCTTTCAGAGAGAAACCAGCTTATAATCCTTCTCAATGCCTTTTTGCTATCGGAATTCAATCCCTTTTATCTCACACGCTCCAAATACTCAAACACCCACCACCCTAATCTCAGACCGAATTCCAGCTACATTTCTTCCTTTTGACTACGTTAAAGCACTTAACTAATTTATTCCATATCCACCCATATTTAAGGTATGAAAAAATGGAAACAAATTTAGCGTAATTCTCACAGGTAAGTTCCATGGCGAACTGCACGAGCCTCCATACTTGTAAACGATTGCTTATAATGTCGACCAAACATGATCTATATCTGTGACAGACTAAGTATTTCTAAATTTGGAGTTTTGTGTACTGACCATTCTTACTATTTTCATTAAATTAGTGTATGCTAATAAGTGCAATTGTATTGGTTTGATATGCAAACAGCTCAACACTAACTCAGCTTTATCTAAGTCATATCAGGTAATGCTGAACATAACTGTTTTTATTTCATTAAACGATCGGCACCTGAATGGTCTCAAGTATGGACATGGCTCGTGTGTTCAATAATTGTACATCAGACATACCAACCCAGATCATACCAGCATCCTCCACACTGATATGTAACACCATTGCCGATATGTCTTTGTGGTTCCTCAATTCAAAATAATCTTTGTCACGGATCATTTCTACTTTATACATGCTCTCGACCTAAACCTAAAACACAAACCCTTTCAGATCACACTATGAAATTTGTGGGAATAATGTCATGAATAATGATATCGTTAGTTAAGACTATTATTAATCACTGCTGCATTAAACATAAATGGCCATAAAGCAAACACATTCCCACAATATCTATAATTTCTCCAATAAGTTTCAAATGACCCACGATTAAGAAAAGAATACAGGAACTTGTTTGAACTGATCAGTAAAGAAATTCAAGGAGACATACCTGGATCACGATTAGACAACATTATCAATACAAAACATTATTATAAAACTTCAAGTAACATACACGCCAAATATAAAAGCAGAGCTAAATCACACGTAGAACTTCTTGGAATAGATAATGGCGATTCGACCATTACAATTGATAATTGAAGTCAGCACTTTTGTAATCGGTGAAGTACTACACATTGTATATGCTTCCTAGATTCAGAAATTGCAATGATATATCTGGATCCAAGGAAAACTTTTGACTTCACCATCTGCCATTCTAAAAGAAAGTTTATCAATTTTGATGTGTGAGCCATTAGATGATACATTATATA